TCTTTTTAGCATCTCCTCCCTCAGTACCGCACAGCCAGGGCATCCAGATCCAGTCCTGATAGAAAGAAAGTACCTCTGCAGTGTGGTCCCTCCATAGATTCCCTGGCCTCAGTTTCCCCATCTGAACAAAGAATAAAAAAAAAAAAAACAATTCCATTGGTTTTTACCGTCCTTTCTTTTTGCCTTGGCATTTCAAACAGTCAGGGTCCTAACCTTCCCCCAGCTCAGACGTTAGCAGTGCCAGGGGAGTTTTAGACTATTATGACCTAGACACTCCCCCCACCCCATCCCTGCAGAGCAGAGGTAATTGGTCTGTGGTGGAGCAATGCTGCAAAGTTGTTGTTGTTGTTTTTTTTTTTTTTTTTTTAAAGATCCCTGGGTGACTCTCTGATGCACTACTGAGTTCAGAACCTCTGGCATCAAATTCCCCTGCTGGGAACTCTGCAAACTGGTGAGTCCCTGTCCAATGCATCTCCTGTGTGGAAACACAGACTGGGATGGATGCCAGGAGCAGGACGTTTGGAGGGCACGTTTGGAGGGCAGCGAGTGAACCAGTCCCAGGGCACCCAAAAATAAATCGGCGTCAATTGGACAGCCGTGGATTTGGTCTTCCTACCTGAGGATTAGATTTTCAGATTGAACACCGTGGTGCATGTGTGTGGTCCAGGAAGTCAATCACCTTGCAGGAGTTGATTCTCTCTGTCATGTGGTTCCCAGAGTCCGAAATCAGGTCACCAGACTTGCGTGATAAGACCCTCTGCCCATGAAACCATCTTGCTATCCTTCATTTCATTTCTTTTTTTATATTTTTTTATTTTTATTTTTTTTTCCTTCATTTCATTTCTGAGACTGGGTCTCAGGTAGGCCAGACTGACCTCAAACCTGATATGTAGTAGACACTGACCTCGAACTTCGGATCTTCCTGCCTCCACCCTCTATGTGCTAGGGTTACAGGCTTGCACATCCATGCCAGTTTTATGTGGTTCTGGGGACAGAACCCAGGGTTTCTGCAGGGACCCTGCCTGGTAAACCAGAACCCCTCCTCCACATAGCATGACCCTGAGTGTGTCTATACTGAGAAGTGACTGCAAATAAATTTTTGAGTCATTGGATGTGTGAACATGCATTTGTCATGAGGACACTTAAAAAATCTTCCCAGGCTCTGTCGGAACCATGCTGAGGGTCCTACACTCCAGAGAGGAAGCGGGGGCGGGGGGCACTGTGGCCACACTGATTCAGCCAGAGACATCTTTCTGGGCTTTGTTATTCTGTTTTCTGGGGTTTGTTTGTGTGCTTTTGTTTGTTTGTTTTGTTTTGTTTTGTTCAAGACAGAGTTTCCCTGTGTAACTGAGAAACTGGCTATCCTAGAACTTTGTAGATCAGGCTGGCTCAAACTCACTGAGATCTGCCTGCCTCCTCCTCCTGAGTTCAGGAATTAAAGGCATGGACCACCCCCCACAGGGGTGTGTGTTTTTAGCTGTGTGTGTGTGTGTGTGTGTGTGTGTGTGTGTATGTTTAAACACCTGGGTAGAAAATTCAGCTATGTTTTATCCTCCAACCTTCTTCTCCAAAGCCTGAAGAAAGTTCCCTCTAGTGATAGACTATTTGGCTTTTCATTTTTGGGGCAAGATCAATGCTTTGTGTGGGTTGAGTTGAGACTTTCTTGCCAATCGGCTTGGATTTAAGTGAGCCAGCTGACCTTGGTGTTTGTGGAAGTCAAAACAACCAAACTTGCCCAAGTCGGGGCTGTGAGACCTTTCAGAAACCACAGAGAAAACTCACAGGGGAAAAAAAAGCCAAACCACATGAGATTAACTTCATTTCAGCCCTCGAAGTTCCTGGAACTCATGTAGGAAAGCCCAGGTTTGGCAATGAGTTGGTTCAGCTACTGAACGAAAGGTCACACTTAGTTCCACGCAGGCTGGGGCGGCAGGAGGCTGGTGCCACACAGTGTAGCCATGTGAGGCATTTGGAGGACTTAAGATTATGCGGCCCCAGGTCCTTCTCAGAGTTGAGCTCCGTCTTGTCTGGGCTCGGTTCTTAGAGCTTACTGAGAGAGGCCCTTGCTATGTAGGTCAGGGGAGCTTGGCGTTCATCATGCAGCCTCATTTGGCCCAAGCCCGTGGTTCTCCAGCCTCCTTCTCCAAAGCATATCCTTGGCCTTTGGGGTGAAGGCGTGACTGTTACCAGGGCAGCCCTACCAAGCAGGGTTTGGCCACTTAGTTCAAATGAAATGCAGAGAACAGACATTTATCCAAAGAGGGACAAAGAGGTCCAGTGACCCCCACCGAGTTCAGGGCCCTGACATGAGATTTAGATTTAAAGAGAAGGCTAGAGGGCTGGGCGTAGATCACTTAATGGGTAAGAGAGTTTGCTACATAAGCATGTGGCCATGAGTTCTAATCCCCAGCACCCGAGAACCAAAAGCTGGGCATGCTCACGCCCGTGCCTGTTGCTTGTAGGGCTGTGTGGGGAGAGATGGGAGGTACTCTGGGCTTGCTGGCTGTCATCTGAACTCCAAGTTGAGTGAGTGACTCTGCCTCAAGGGAATAAGGTAGAGAATGGGAGAGGACACTGGACATTGTTCTCTGACCTCCAAATGCATGCATGGGCGTGTCTGTATACACAGAGGTGCATACACACACACAGAGAGAGCTAAGCAGTTCTTGGTCAGGTGCAGGGTCCCTCATCGCCGGCCCATCTTTGCTCCAGCTCCAGTCTCTCCGGTACACACACACACACACACACACACACACACACACGCATGCACACATACACACAACTATGCAGTTCTTGGTCACATGTGGTCTCTCTCATCGCTGGCCCATCTTTGCTCCAGCTCCAGTCTCTCCCGCAAGGTGGTCTGACCATTTTCAGAACGGTGTGTAATGTCGACCTGGGAGACAAGCTCCCCGTCTAACTGGCACCAGGCATCAGCCTCTTCCTACTTTAGCTTGAGATTTCCTGTGGGAAATGCCAATTCCCTGGGGTCCTTTGTAACAGTCCACTAACCAGAGGGAGGGCACGTGTCTCTTTAGAATACCTCCTGTCCTACGGGGAGGCTTAACTCGCTGAGTCTTCTTCACCTCGGTAAGTCTGTGACCGCAGAGAGGACACTAACAGCCTTAGGTTCCTCCCTGAGGAGGCACACAAGGTCAGGTGCCTCCTGGAACTAGCCTCCTCACTCTTAGGGGATGACTTTGCTTTGATCCCTACCATGCAGGCTCCCAAAGATCCCTGGTGCCTTCCTGTACTCTCTGTTCGTGAAGAAGAAGGTGACAATCTATGGTAAGAATCTACACACGCCCCTGCAAGGGGGAGAAGGGAGGAAGATGTGGACAGTGGACCCAGACTCGAAACATGAACTCTGAGACTGAGGACATGGTTCAGTTGGTAAGGTGCTCACCTGGCATCCAAGAAGCCCCAGATCCCACCGCAGGATTCTAGAAACCAGGCTGGGTGTCACATGCTTATAATCATAGCACTACGGGCAACGAGCAGAGGGGTGACACCAGGAGATCATAAACTATAGATGATCCTCTGAGGCTCCATAGAGACTCTGAGAGCTGCCCGGGCTACATGAGATCTTGTCTCAAAACAAACAAATAAGCTTAAAGCTGGGGGCCATGACATGTGCCTACAAAATCCAGGACTGGGGAAGCAGGGGTAACAGGACATCCTTGGCTACATGGCGAGTTCAAAGGCAGCCTGGGCTACACACAACCATTTCTGTAAGTAGAGAAATGAAGCAAACAGTCTCCAGCTTTTCTGGTTGGTTGCAGTTCCCTCTAGTCGCTGCTTTCTGCCTCTCCTCCGGCTTCCAGGTCTGCTGCGATGCAGAGAGACACTTCACAAGACTTCACATGCTGCTGCTATCATGTTGATGTCCACTCAAACACACAGGGCTGCGCCGCCAAGGACTGAGCCCTTTAAAACCAAGAGCCAAAACAAAAGTCTCTCCCTGAAGTTGTCCCTGTCAGGTACTTTGGTGACAGGAAAATCAAAGTCACGAACACAAGGCCCCATTGGCTGTCCTCTCTCATCCTGTTTTGAATCGGTCTTCCTGTGTGCACCCTATTTCTGCTGGGTAAGCTCAGACACCCACTGTGTCTCTCATGGATTCATGTGGTCTCTTCATGCTGTGCCTCTGTATCTCCACATATGCTGATCCCCTGCCTGGTAGTCACTGTGCCAGCCTGCCTTTCCAGGAAAGCTTGCCTGTGGGTAGTCTGTCATAGTGAGTTTAGCATTGTGTGTGTGTGTGTGTGTGAGAGAGAGAGAGAGAGAGAGAGAGAGAGAGAGAGGAGAGAGAGAGAGAGAGAGTGTGTGTGTGTGTGTGTGAGAGAGAGAGAGAGAGAGTGTGTGTGTGTGTGTGTGTGTGTGTGTGTGCGCTACACTCTCACCCTGGTTTGTGTGTAGTTAGAGGACACACTTATAGGAGTTTCTCTCTCCTTCCACATGTCTGTCCTAAGAACTGAACTCAGATCAGCAGGCTTAACCTATTGAGCCATCTCTCTCTCTCCCTGGCCCTATTATTTGAGACACATCCCTCACTGATCCTGGAACTTATCAACTCACCTAGAGTACCTGACCCATGAGCCCCAGGTAGCCTCCTGTCTCCATCTCCCCCAGAGTGGAAATTACAGGCGTGGGCCGCTAAGCCCTCTTTCTGATTTAGGTGCTGGTAATGGCTCAGGTCCTCATGTTTATACAAGCGTTTTACTGCCTGAGTCATCTCCCCAGGCCCAAGGTTGTCTTGATTACCATGTCTGCTCTGAAGCCAGGAGACAAATCATATTTCCTACCATATGTTCCGCCACTGTCAGTTTATTTTCTGGATGCCAATCATCCCGCTTCAGAGTCCCTCCGCTCAATAGGCTGGGCCACCTTCTGCACCCGCTGCTCCTCAGATCTGTGGAACTGTCTCCTATGGGGCCCTGGGAACACATCTCAAGACCCACTGCAAACCAGATCGTCAATAATGAACCGATTCTCTCATCAAAAGGAAAAAAAAAAGAACTTTTATTTTTTTCTATTGCATAAATAATGGTAAATTAGACTCTTTTTTAATAAGATTATATATTTACAGACAAGATTAGTTACAGAAAACATCTGGTACATATATGGCAGTCATTTTCCCTTTATACAGTAAGATAACATGTGAATAATATCGCTTCATTGGATCACTTATGTTGCATGCCAAGTTCATTTATATTAATATTTACATTTGATATAAAGATAATTTTTTTTATTTCACTAACCTGCTGTCTCACCACTTAATAGCAGAAAAATCACCAAACTCACACTACATGAAGGAAACAAAAGAATGTAAATGAGGTAAGGTGGGAAATCGAGATGCATGATTGACATCTGACTGGAACATTCTGGAAGGAGAGGCAAGAAGCTCCTGTTTAGAACAGTCTTTACCTGTGCTTCTGAGACACCCAGCATGTAGGGGTCCAAATCCCAGCCATTTACATCTGTGCTTTGAGAATTAACTATGTCAATGACCTGTCCCCACCTGTGGGCTAAGCTCTCCCATACCTGGCAGGACCAGCCCTTCAGAGTCTGAACAGCTTCTGCGAACATGACCTTGGATCAGTCCTTGGCCAATTAGCTTCTTTCTGAATTCAGAATTTGGGTCAGAGAAATCACACACACACACCCAGGGCCTGAAGCCACTGGACAGCTCTCAAATGGTCCCAGAGTTTTCCATCTATGTGAACTTGTACCAGGAGCTGAGTGAATCTTTTCTCAACAGGTCTTTTCAGGGAAGAGCAATGGGGTCACCTGTGAGCATCTACTGGATCTCAGACTGCTTCAGGGATCAAGAACTAAGAGCAGGAAGCAGGAGTTTATTATTCCCATGGTTTTGTTTAGGAGACAAGGCCTCCTGCTTTAGCCCAGGCTGACCTGGAACTCACAGGCTACTCTGGAACTTGCCACAATCTTCCTGCCTCTGCCTCTGCTCCCATGTTTTGGGATTGTGGGTCTACACCTCTGTGCCTGGCTCAAACAGGCTCAGAGGTGGCATGAAGAAGAAGGGACAAAGACTTGGGTACCCGCGAACTGCTGTGTCCCTGCCTAGGTCTCTTGCTATGGTTGGAGCATTGCTGTGGCAGGCATCTATGTCCAACCCCAGTCTTGGCCATGTAAAGAACAGCTTCAGATTGCTGGTCCTGCACCCCAGACTTGTCATTAGAGATGGTAGCTTTCTGCCCTCTGCAGGACCACATCCACCCGAACTGCTTCCAAGTCCAGTGGCCAGGGGAAAGTCAGGTGGTAACTAATGGTGGGGAGACAGCATGGGCATGCACACTCTTTATTTGGGGGAGTTTCCAATTAGACATCCTCAGAGAGATTTTGGTAGCATCATTTTTTTTGGAATCTGGATTTTATCTCAACCTACAATCTCATAAATTCAAATTCCATATAACCTTTATCGGGAACCAAAGCTCCTTCATTGTCAGGCTGGAAGTCAAGAAGACATAGAAGCTCATCTTGATTCAGCAAACTTTTGGACAACAAACAAAAATGCATCTCCCCTGTGTGTGACATGCGACATGTTGGCTGGGAACCAGAGGGCACAGTTTCCTTCACAGATAGTAGACACCGACAGGAACACACAGCTGCCCTTGGGACTCATGCCACAAAACAAGCTACCCCGAACGATATAACACACAGGACTTCGCAACCTTCTCTACTGGAGATGGACTTTCCACTGGCTTCTAGCAGCAAGGATCCTATTTCTGGTACCCTCCCTTTGGTTTTTCTGTTCTGTTTTCTGGCCTTTGTTCACAGGTTTCAGAGCCTTGGGCAAGACCTGCTGAGGCTGGCAGGAGTCAGTATCCACCCAGAGGAGGTACTACCCTCCTATTGGTGGCATAGAGCTTGTGATTTGGGAACATGCTGATGGGAGGTGCATCCCTTGGACATTCCCAAAGTAGGCTTGATATACAGGGCCTAGAATCTAGCAGCCCTGAAAGAACATTCTCTGTCAGGTCCAAGGATGAAGCAAACATCCGGGTGAAACCTGCATTCTCTGAAATATTCTTTCCCAATTAGCCCATACTTTCTGGAAAATTCTAGTACCTGCCTACTTTCTAGATATCCCCTCCCTCTCCCTGCCCCTCCCCCACTCTGTGTTTGTACTCGTAGCACAGTCCAACTTGTTCTGTAGAAGAGGATGTCCTTGAACTCATATTCCGAGTTCCTGCATCTCCCAACTGCTAGAATTATAGGCATGCCCTATTAGCCCTGCTTGGATAACTTCTGAAAACATATGAAGGACTGGTTTGGAAGCCAAGACATCCACCTGAAGAAAAGGTTGACCCTATAGCCAGAACGTGGGATGTCTTCTCTTGACAAACTCCCCAAAGGAGGAGCTGGATAAGGAATGTTGAGATACAGGGGGCTGTTTTGTGAAACGGATTTTTCTTCCCTCTTGAGTGGGGAGGAGTTTTATTGTGGTAACTCATGCTAGCCCAGAACTCTCTATGTAGCCCAGGCTTGCCTAGAGCTTAACTATTTAGCTCAGACTGGCCTTGAACTTGCTCCACAATCCAGGCAAATGTTGAACTTTAATCCTCCCACCTCAGTTTGTCAACTGCCAGGCCCTGCAAGCATGTTCTCCCATGTCTGGCTGAATCCATCACTCTTTGTAGTATTTTTAAGACAGAACCAATATTAAATATAAACCATTGGCATTAACATGACGGTGATGCATTTGCAGGAAGCATAGGATCCAAGGAGAAGGCCTAGTTAGCTGGTCCACCTGTCCCCTTCCTCCAAACCAACTGTGCGTGGCAAAGGCCACATAGCTGAGAACAGTCCCCTGAGTGTTAGTCAAAGCGTGGATGGAATGAAGCTAAGCAATTGTGACATTTCCATGATCGTGGGGATGGGGTGGCCTAGCGTCTCCTCTATTCTGTCCTGACTATAAATAATTCAAGTGAAAAACTCTAATGGCTGCATAGCTCGTCTACTGCACATGGATTTTTCTCCTCGTGGAGGAGGGGGAACCGGGGAATCAACATGGAGGGAAGAAAAATGGCTATGAATTCTGGACTCTCAGCCCTGCAGGGCATCCTGGAAGAGGCCAGTGAAAACTGCTGATCTGAAGTTGTTTGTGACAGATGCTTCTCAGGGAATGGAGTTCTGTGGTCTTCCAGATCATTATAAGCAGTATGTGCCAAAGTCTAGAAGATCCATCGGAGCTCACCGGTTATCGTTATCATAGCGTTATATAAAAATAAGGACCCTTTTCACGAGAAGGTTCCAGACTCTCTATGTATCTTAGGTAACAGGGTAGATCGAGTCACTGTGGACCGTTAGTGACATAGTGTAGGGACAGGACCTAATATGGTTTGAGGTACAAAACTTAGCACTGTCATCAAGGGCACACGAGGAAACAGTCCACATATGACATGCAGCCAGACATAGCCAAGCCAACCCAACCCAGGAAGCACACCCAACAATTACCTTGTTCATCTTCTCATGATGCCCTCATAGGGTCCCGGGGACACTATCTTAGATTCAAAAACAATGTACACAATACTCTTTGATTTATGACCTGAGTCTGGATTTGAGCCCATAGCAGGAGACTGCAATAAAAGCCAGTTGTTTCTCTCCCTGCTCTTAGATTTTCCAATCCCTTTAAAGTCGACTGACCTGGGACAATGAGGGCTGGGACTGGGACTAGTTGCTCGGGCTAGAAAGGATGCTCTCCTCAACATTCTCTTCCTTCCTTCCTTCCTTCCTTCCTTTCTTTTTCTTTCTTCCTTTCTTTCTGATTCCACCCTTTCAGATACTAGATCACCTGTCATGTAAACTTTGAGACAGGAGCAGGTATGGCAAACACCTAGTCGATGTCCTGGTCCCTGCATATAGGTCACCCAGAACGTCTTGCAATCGCTGAGCTTGTCCAAGAACTCCTGAGAACCGCAGTTCACCTCAATTCTTATTTCTAGCTTACAGAATGGGAGCGCGTCAACAAGCAAGCAAATGCTATTATTAAAGATTACAAGCTTAACGTGTTTTGGCCCGCCAGATGATGTAGGGTGGTGTTACCCCTCCCATATGGAGACAGTCTTGTTCTTCGAGGTGAGATAAAGGGTAGAGGTGAGGAGGCTACCCATACAGGGCTTACTCCTTTTCTCCTGAGTTGGGGCAAGAACTCTTTCAAATACAACAGGGAAAGGTAGGGAAGTCATGCATATTCTTCGGAGGTTGATTCTCCATCCCAGCGGGAGATGGATTCTGGGAGTCAGAGTGCAGGCAGGTAGGATATACAGTGTCTTTTAAGAAAGTGTTCCCTATGTTTATACCTTAGATGCAATGTTTCCATGGCAATCTCTTATAGTTGTCATGTGGAACTTGTACACTTTCTGGAAGCCATCGTTAACAGTTCCAGGGTGGAGTCCTGACTGGGGATTCCATCTACCTCCAGGGACAGTGAGGGGGATAGCTTGTTTGAAGGTGACAGGGTTCAGAGGCAGCCTGTCTTTCTGTCCCAGGTCAAATGCTGTCCTACTGTCTGACATTCATGGAGGCCTGGGGGTGTGGAGCTGAGCTGGTAGCAAGTATGAGCCAGTCACCGAGTCACCTCATGGCCGGGAAGTCTCTGTCACTGATTCCTAAGGCAGCAAAGGCTGAGGCCCCTGCCTCTCCTACAGAGGGTGCCTTAGCAAGTAGGGGAGTCAGAACTTTCTGGAACCATCAGCCAACCAGCTCCTCCTTCCCAGTTACTGTCCTGAGAATGTTAGGGGGGTCATGAACCTCGGGGTAGCATTTGTGTGAACAGACCTGGGAGTGGGGCTGCCTGGAAAAGAATCCCGACACCCTAAACACGTCAAAGGCAGATAATACAAGCAAAGCAGTTAGCAGGCAGGCCAACGAAATGCCACTAGACCTGGTTTCTTGCCCTGCTGTATTCAGTCGCTGGGTGCCGCAGATGAGGAGGATGCTGGGAGACTAACTTCTGGGCCATCGGAGAGAATCTGATGGCTGTTTTCCTATCATTTCTTCCATGCAATCGGGAAAGATGCTGGAGGGTTCGGTTTTGCTTTTTGTTTTTAAAGGGAATGGGTGCTCATGCCCTTTATATTATTACATCTCCACTCATTGCTGAAGGAATCTAAACTCTTCATCTTTGGGGATCAGCCTCCTTCAGTATGGGGCAAATGTTGCAGAAAGCAACATTTGAAGACATCTGTATGTCCCCCCTCAGTAGCTAATCTCAGCTGCAGCATGGCTTCCACCTCCTTTCGGGTCCTTAGAATCCTGTACTTCCAGATGCATTCGCCTGGTTTCTCCAGCATGCCCCCGAGAGGATGCAGTTTGGAGTTTCAATCATCAGCAAGCGATAGGGAAGCACTGCCAGCTATGTTTGCCTTCTCGCTCACACCCGGCAGAGAGAAGGCAATGGCTCCAGGAAGAAACTTAGGGGGTGGGAAGTTGTGCGGTGTATTAATATTCTGTGTCTCTTCCTGTTCTAGTGCAGGAGTCTGGTCCTATGGGGACCATGGTGACTCAGCCTAGGGAAGAAACGGAAAGGGCAGGTTTGCAGAGGGCACCGCGAGAAAGGCAGGCAGGCTACTGCCTGGATGTGCCAGACTCCAGGCAGTTTTAGGAAGTGACTCTGTGCCCCTTTGGGCTCTTGGGACCTCTGACTTGCTCTCTCTTGCCTATGCTATGGCTCAAACCTAGTTTGATTTGTGCTCTTAGTGAATATTCACACCCTACAATGGGAAAAATATCAACAGCCGCCCTCCACACTACTGGGCAGAGGGCTGTAGAGGTGAGCTAGAGGAAGACCCTAGAAGGAGAACTTGCATGATCCAAGTCTAAGGCGGCAGTAAGGAGGGAGAAGGGAGGGAAGCTAGGCTAGAGGAATATGCATCGCACCAGAAAAACCCTACCCGGCTGCAGGAGAGAGAGGGAGGGAGGGAGGGAGAGAGAGAGAGAGAGAGAGAGAGAGAAGCTGTTGGCCTCAATGTGGCTGGAGGAAAGGGTAAGAAAGAAGGAAGGAGAATCAGGAAGCTTCCGCCTGAGATCCAAAGAAGCAGGGGCAGGACGATTTCACTACAGAGATAAAGACTTGGGCTCAGAGAAACACAAAGGGAACTAGCACATCTATGGATGACAGGCAATCTGACCACTCACACTTGAATTCATAGTGAATCTAGGAAAACTGAAAGAAATGAGTCTCAGCCTGCTGCTGAAAACAGACCCCAACAGAAGTGTCCTGTGATCAGGAGTCAAGTCTCCATCACATCAACCACGCCTATTAAACACCACGTGCTCTCTCTCTTTTTTTTTAACGAGTCACTGGCACAATCTGAATATCTTGAGATATTAAGCAAAATCCAGTCCATACAGCCAAGTAATCCTTCCAGCTTTTCTGCACCAGGTTCTAGGTCTCTTTCTTTTAGCTGGGGAAAGACTCACTAAGAAAGTCCAAGATGAGGGAAGGGTTTAGGTGTACACCAATCTTAACTTACAGATGTTGTCTAGCATGGAGACTCAGAGGGGCTCTGTTATTTTGGATGCCCAGGGTGTGGGCCTCCTTGGGAGCAGGCTCAATTCTTCCCCTCCCCCAGTAGCTTCACCCTTTGCTCCCAAGAAGCAGGGATGAGTGTGAGTTAGAGAACAAATTCCCGTCCAAAGTAAGCGGTTAGGGAAGAACAGCATCAAACACGGAGAAGTCTCTTGTCTGTCTATGCTTCTGGGTTACAGACACACCCGGGCTATAATTTTTTTTTCTTTTCTCTAATGGTGGCACAGGCAAGAAAAGCTGGGAGCCAGGCTCTCTGCAGATTCCAAGATGCTGGTGCGGGATGGACTTCAGAAACAGAAAGCCAAGTGCCAAGGAAACCAACCGAGAGCGCCCCAGCTCTTCCGACAGGAGTCCTGTAGAAAAGGCAATAAGACCAGCAGTGCTGCAAGGAGCTTGAGCCCTGCCTAATGGCTTTCCCCCTCATGCCTTGGGGGGAGGGGTCTCCACTGGGTGGAGGAAGGAAGCCAGGGTGAGATGGACAGTCCCCTTTCCAGTCGCAACCCAGAGGTCAACCTCAGCAGGGAGTTTCTTTGGGTCCCTGGGTTGAAAGAATCGGGGCATGGATGGAGGTGAGTGTTGTTCATACTTGTCTTTTCTTCCTCGCTCTGTGATGCCACCGCGATACTTGGATGGCTACTGGAATTCCAAGACGAAAAGAAAGCAGTATTTTTTCCCCCTTCGGAGTTGCTACTGGCGGTTGAAGCAATAATTGAGAACTCCCGGGTATTTATTGCATTGGGAAACAAAACCATGAAAGCATTTGAAGACAGCCCTTTAGTGTCCCTGCCAAGGAGATGGAGTTGATCCGTGATCCCGGTTACCCTGCAAACTTGAGTTCTTTACTGAACTGTACCAACGACTGCATCCATCCATAGGTCCAGATCTCCGGTGTGGAGGAACAGAGTCTGCCCGCGGGGCATGCACATGCGCAGTGAGCTGGCAACGCGGTTGTGGCTGGTGGGAGGCTGCTACTCCATGCCGCTCCGCAGGATCTGGTTGGCTGCAATCAGCATGACGCTTATGATGAAGGCCATGGCGAAGGCGCATATGAGGCTCTTGCGGACGCAGGTCTGCCGGTTCTGCTTCTGTGAATGAACTGGGGGAAGGGGTGGGAGGAGAGAGAACAGAGAGGTAGCTTGAGACAGCTGTATGTTTTCTCCACAGCATAGACTGTGGCTGGTCTAACCAACTCAGGGGATGGATACTATGGGGCTCTTAGCAACTGCTGAGCAGAAACTTCTGGCGAAAGGTATACGATGGTAAACCATCCCTACCAGAACTGTGGTCCATGAGATGTTTAGAGAAAGGTTTAGACAGCTGGATATAATAGACCTACAGCGAGTCTCAGAGACAACAATTTCTGTAACATTCTAGAATGAGTTTCCGAAAAGACACCGTGCAGCCATTATCACCCCCTTTCTGTAACCAGCACTGATAGAATGAGGTCTGGAAGCTTTCCAGCATATGGTATGTGTATGTCTTGTTTGTACCTGTCACATGGCTGCCCAAGAGGACAGTCCATTTTGTTTGTTGATACACTTTGACCAGCTGGGAATTTGCCTAGTCGCCTAGGCTGGCTGTGTAGCGAGCCCCAGCAATCCACCTGTCTACCTCCTCAGTCCTGGGATTATAAGCACACGCTACCACAGCTATGTGAAAATCAGGTTCTCCTGCCTGCAAAGCAAGCATTTTACCAAACCAAGCTGGCTCCCTGGTGTGCTTTTGGAGACTCAATCACCTCTCAATAGTGCCACCACTTGGGGACCAAGTCTTCAACATAGGAGCATCAAGAAGACACCTCATAGCTAAACAGGACATGGTGGGAGGTTGATACAAAAGGCGCTGTCCTGTTCATTGTTGAGTCACTGAACCAGGTCACCAGGAGGGAGTCTGGGAGTTCACATCTTAATAAGCTCTCCCAGGGTCTGGGCAACTTTCGGTTGATTTGAGAGGCCTGGATGGAGGTCAGATTGCCAGAGACAAAAGAGGGGTGTGTGAGCATGTGTGTGTAGTGTCTGTGGTTTTTGCTTGGGCTGTTGGGAAACATGGTCTTTCAGATTTACCTGCTAAAGAAGACTAGGGACTTGGGATAAGACTTGGCTAGGAAAGTGTTTGCTGTGCAAGCATGAGGACCTGAGTTCGATCCCCAGCAACCACATAAAGAACTGGCCATGGTGGCAAATGCTTGTGGTCCCAGAGCTGAAGAGAGAGAGGCAGGTAGGTCCTGGGGCTCCCTGGCCAGCCAGCCCAGCATACTTGATGAGTTCCAGACCAACCAGGCGGGTGGCCTCTATGTACTTGCACATCCACACAACACACACTCACCTACGTGTGCGTGTGGACCAAGAAGACTGGCAAAGCCAGATATGGTACATTACAATGCTAGCTACATGAAGGCAGTCAGGAGAATTGTGAGTTTGAGGCATGGGTTGGCTACATGGTAAGACTCTGTCTCAAAAAAAAAATAAAGCACTTTTTGAAAAGTAAGAAAGAGAGGGAGGGAGGGAGGGAGGGAGGGAGGGAGGGAGAGAAGAAAGAAGGGAGAGAGAGAAAGAGAGAGAAGGAAGGAGGGAGGGAGGGAGGGAGGGAGGGAGGGAAGGAGGGAGAAAAAAAAGCAGGCTAGCAAGATGGCTCATGGGTAAGGAGCTTGCCATCTGGCCTGACCCCCTGAGTTTGCTCCTGGAGACCCACATGATACAAGGGTGAAAACTGATGCCTGAAAGTTGGCCTCTGAGCACCGCAAGAGCGACCTCCCCCACACCATTAGCACAATAAATTAAATAAGTAAATAAATAATGTTTAAAGGAAGCAAATACATAGAAGACTGGAAAGAGGAATGGACCAGTCGGGCCTCTCAAGAACGCGAAGTCCAGTCTCCTGCCGTGTTGGGACTCCCCCGGGCCCTGTGGAAATAACAGACTAACGAGTAGGAATCAGGCCATGTTTTCAAAGCCAAAAAGAGCCTTCCGTAGGAGAAAGGGCCCAAGGGTTTATGAAGGATCTCTGAAAGTTACTGTCAAGCCAGATTCACCGTGAGCCTGTGCCCCCAGCCATGGCTCTGGTTCCCTCTCCAATTTGCCGAGATCCTCTACCCAGAATCCCCTAAGTCTCGTCTTGTTATCGTTAATCCTCCTGGATCCACCAGGCTTGTGCTTCCCCTGGGTGATTTAGGAGTGTTTTTGTGGTTCGATTCTCCAATTCCTGATTAACTCTGGGTTTTAAGCTCTTAGCTGAAGGAGGAAGTTTTGTTTGGTGTGGAGATGGGCTTCTTCTGGGAGTGGGTACACTGAAGGAACAAAATGCCAGCTCTTAGGGCAAAGGAGATGGCGTTTAAGAAGGAAAGGATGGGGCTCAGTTGGTGAAGTGCTTGCCCAGCATGCTGACGCCCTGGGATCCATCCTCACTGCTGCATTAAGAAAGGATGGGGTGCACACCTGCAAACTCAGCACCCAGGAGGTGGAGGCAGGAGGGTCAGTCGTTCAAGGTCATCCTTGGCTATGCATTTGCAGTTCAATTTTTTGTATTCCCGGAGATACATGAGACCCTAGCTAAACAAATGATGAACCAGGCCAAAAAAACAAAACCAAACAAAACAACTGCAAATGTGTTTGTGGCTTGTTGAGGACCAGCTGAGGTATTCTGGGCCTGCGCCTGTGTAAAAACTGTCCTGCCACACTCCATCCTGAAGGTCTGTGGAAACCTTCAGCCACAGAAAATGCTGGCCCACGGGGGAATGTGTTCATAAAAACCTCTCTTTTTGAAGGATACTCGGGAAACAAAATAACAGGTGACAGGCTTTTATTCCCCTGTTAAGTTGTGGCTATGATGTGTCTCCTACACACTGATGTGTGTGAACACGTGGTCCCTTGCTGGTGGTGCTGTCTGGGGACCCTTCGGAGATGGGAGTGAGTCACTCAGGGGGTGGACACAGCCACACTTCCTATCTTCCTGATCCTGGCCTCCCTAAGGGAGGTACTCATGTCTGCAGTGATGAGCTGCCTCTACCGGGAGCCCTGCCCCTCTGAGGGACTGTATTAAACCCTGAGACCAAATAAATCTGCTCTCCCTTAGATGACTTCCTGTGAGGATTCAGTCACACAGAAGAGAAAGGTGACTAACATATCCCACCAGGGCCGCTTCCTCTTTGATCTCGGAATCCTTCAAAGCCTGGGAAGGGAGAGATAAGAGGTGCCTGAGAATCCAGACAGGCGTGTCCAGCCTTCTGACACTCTGGAACAATGCTGTCATCTATAAAGTTCATGCTAGACAACTGTGCTATTCGTTGTTGTTGTTGGTTTGTTTTTTTTTTAAAATCATGCCCGCAAGCGATACAATGTTTTAACTAACTTCACAGTTTCGTGTTGGGCTGTGTCTGTAGCTATCATCAGTTGCAAGCCGGGCATGCCAAATAAGCTAGAACAGCTGCAAACTGGGCATGCCACAGTTAGGACAATGTCTTATAAGCGGAGGAGGCCTTCTAGAACATTCTGAGGCCATAGTAGCTTGGAAACAGATCTGCACTGAAACCTGTAAGTCCAGCTCAGTCCTGGGTGGAAGATTGTTTTGCAGTGAACCCAGACATCACCAGAGAGCAGAAATTGTACAGTGGAGCAAAAATATAATGTCTTTTGTGGCTGGACCTAACCCTCAATTTCCTTATCTATAAATTGGGGGTGATAAGAGTCACCTTGGAAGAGATTTAAAGACAAGAAAGGATTTAACTTCGAGAAAGGATATTGCTTGTGCCCAATTCCAGCTGACTTTCTTTTTTAAAAACCCAAGCTGGTTTATTTCATACATGTGGGCATGCGTGTGTGTGCACTAGTGTTTGAACAACCACCTTGGGTGTCTTTCCCCAGTACCACTCACCTTCTTGTTGAGACAGGAACTTGTCATTTAGGTTAGACTGACTAGTCGTGTCCCTGCTTCTGCAGCATGGGGTTACAGGAACGTGCCACCAAGTCCTGCCTAGTTCACGCAGATTCTGGGAATGGAATGTAGGTCCTTATACTTGCAAGGCAGATACTCTATAGACTGAGCCATCTCCCTAGCCCTAGAATTCATGCTGAGTTATTGGACATCCCTCAATGAGTTGATTATTGTGCTGATTTTATGTGCATGGTGCATGCAGAGTTGGATCTCGCACAGGCTGGGTGTGGTGTCTTTCGATAGATGCAGGGCCTTCAGGGCCAAACAGCAAACGCCAAAGGCATTTGACAAATCACAGAGATGTGATTTGAATCCATGGTTTGCTCTGCCTTACAAGCTCAAAATCTCTGTATACACTCTCCCTGACCCTCTGCTTGGTGACAGCGAACAGGTATCAGAGACTTGGTGTGGCTGGCAGGGGCCTGAGCCAGGACCTGGTTCATTTTCTTGCAACTCTCTTAAGGCCCATCATTGGCAATTTTATATTTGCTTTGCATTATATTGCATCAAATAAATATTATGTATTCTTAGTGTCTATTCTTTTCTTTCTGAGTCCTGGCCTTGAACCTAGAGCCTCTTGTCTGCTGGAGAAGTCACTGTCGCTGAGCTACAGCCTCTGAGCCACAGTTTCACCCCTTGCTTGTTTTATTTTGTAACTTGATATCATTGTTTTGGAGACAGTATCTATCTTACTATGGAGTCCAGGATTTCCTTCAGCTTGCAGCAACTGAAGCCAGAGGCTGCCTCAGCCTCTCAGACTGGGATTTAGGCACGAGGCACCACAGCATGTTTATTTACTTAAAGATTTATTTTTGTTTTATTTATGTGTATGCCTGTGTATAGCTAGCGTGTAGTTGTGAGTTCCCAAGGAGGCCAGAAGAGGGCGCCAGATCCCTTAGTGCTGGAGTTGCAGGAAGTTGTGAGTCACTCAATTTGGGTGCAGGGAACTGAACTCCTTTGCAAGAGAGCAGCATGTCCTCTTAATCGCTGAGCCATCTCCCCTGTCCTTTCCTTTAGATCTGTACTTATTAACCTTGCTATGTCCCCAGCAGGCTTTGAACTCACTATGTCTCTCAGTCTGGCACTTAGGAGCTCTGAAAAGTCTAAACTCTGAACTTTAGTTTCCTTTTCTGTCAAAGGAGCTAACAGTAGGAGTCCTAGGCACTA